CAGATTTAGATGTAGCTCTCATATATAGTTTCGTTCGATTTTCAGTAAATGGTGCACAAAAACTCCAAAATATGGCCGATTTGCACACAATTTTGCATAACATACTGAAGTTAGTATAACCTACTGTGTGGAAAGTTACGTTGAAATCCGTTCAGATTTAGATGTAGCTCTCATATATAGTTTCGCCGATTTTCAGTAAATGGTTCACCAAAGCCCCAAAATGTTGCCGATTGGCACGCAATTTTGCACAACGTACTGAAGTTACTATAACATAACGTGTGCCAAGTTTTGTTGAAATCGGTTCAGATTTAGATATAACTCCCATATATAGATTCATCCGGTTTTAGTAAATGGTGCACCAAAGCTCCAATATATGGCCGATTGATACAAGATTTTGCACAACGTACTGAATTTAGTACAACCCACTGTGTGATAAGTTTTACTGAAATCGGTTCAGATTTAGATATAGCTACCATATATAGTTTCGTCCGATTTTCAGTACACGGTGTACCAAGGCCCCAAAATATCACCGATTGACACAAAATGTTGCACAACGTACAGAAATTAGTATAACCTACTCTGTGAAAAGTTTCGTTGAAATTGAACCGGAAATTAAATTTTGAAAATGTTGCAATAGAAACATTTCTGACGCATGAATAGATGGTCTGAAATTTTTATTGGGATATATGGTATCAAGAATTGTTTTTAAAAAATAGCGACCTGGGGGTCTCGAGAATTTTTTTTTATATAGAAGAAATAGTGAAAAACTAAAAAAACTTTCAATCTCTATAATTTTTTTTTTCATGAAAAAATAGTGACCCTGGGAGTCAAGACTTTGTTTCTATATAGGACATTGCAAAGACTATCAATTTTTTTTTTAAATTGAACGAATAAAGAGAGACATACAAATATTTGCGGAACACACTATTACACTTAGATGCTTGTACACCGAACTAGACATAAACTGTAATAAATTTCATAGTTTTTTTCGGAGGGGAACTACTAATAGATTGGTCGACAATAACTAATCGACAAAAATTAAAAATAAACAGAACAGCACACAACGAAAAAAATGTTTGAAATCATTTCAGAATGTATTCGAAACGAATCATAAATGCTCTACAATGTAAACTCAGCATCCCATAAACTATTCCATATGCATCGATATCAAATGTTCGCCTTCATGTAGCCATTGAACAATTCTTGATAGCCAAAACAAATTGGTCCTCTCTTTATTCTTTTTTTCAATTTTAGTGATTCTAGCGCCAAATAGTCTATAAAATCTATAAAACGGTTGATATGCTTGTGTGCCAAGTTTCTGTCGCATAGATCTTTAAGTGTTTTGTCTAAAACTGAAGGGGAACATTTTGAATAGTGCGTTTCATACATTTAGTATATTAAAGACTTTTTGATGAAATGCGAACATAAATGTATACATAATGTGGTAAACAAAAAGAAAAAAAAAGAGAATCGCCACATAAGAAGAAGTAAATATGTATATTACTTGGTCCGTTGTGCCCTAGTAATCGTTTGGCGGCATATATTTTGGCTAAAAGTTATAAAAATGCTCTGATTTGTTTGTTTTATTAAAAAATTCAAATTCACCCACCCAGACAGGCACAGTGGTTATAATCAGAAAACATTTTTCCAAAAAATATTTTTAACAAAGGCATTTTAAAGGTCTTTAAAGGCTTCTATTGCCTAAAAAAGGCATTTTAATTTTCTATCGTCTAAAAAAGGCATTGTAAGGTCTTTAAAGGCTTCTATCGCCTAACAAAGGCATTTTTAATTCTCTATCGCCAAAAATAGGCATTTGAAGGCCTTTAAAGGCTTCTATCTCATAACGAAGGCATTTTATTTTCTATCCCATAAACAGACATTTTAAGTCCTTCTATCGCCTAAAAAAGACATTTCAGTTTTCTGTGGTCTAAAAAGGCTTGTTAAGCATGTTAAGGTTTCTTCGCCAAAAAAATGCATTTTAGTTTTCTGTGGTCTAAAAAGGCATGTTAAGGCGTTTAAAGGCTTCTATCGCCTAAAAATGCATTTTAAGGCCTTTAAAGTCTTCTATCGCCTAAAGAAGACATTTTAGTTTTAGTTTAGGTCTAAAAAAGGCTTCTATCGCCTAACAAAGGCATTTTAATTTTTCTATCGCAAAAAATAGGTCTCCAAAGGCTTCTATCGCCTAAAAAAGGCATTTTAGTTTTCTGTGGTCTAAAAAGGCATTTTAAGGCCTTTAAAGGCTTCTATCGCCTAAAAAAAACATTTTAAGGTCATTAAATGCTTCTATGGCCTAACAAAGGCATTTTAATTTTCTATCGCCAATAATAGGAATTTTAAGGCCTTTAAAGGCTTCTATCGCTTTAAAGGCTTTCATCGCCTAAAAAAGACATTTTAAGACCTTTAAAGGTTTCTATCGCCTAAAAAGGGCATTTAAGTTTTCTGTGGTCTAAAAAGACATTTTAAGGCCTTTAAAGGCTTCTATCACTAATAATTTAAGGCCTTTAAAAGCTTCCATCGCCTAAAAAATACATTTTAAGACCTTTAAAAGTTTCTATCGCCTAAAAAAGGCATTTAAGTTTTCTGTGGTCGAATAAAGCATGTTAAGGCCTTTAAAGGCTTCCATCGCCTAACAAAGGCATTTTAATTTTCTATCGCCAAAAATAGACATTTTAAGACCTTTAGAGGTTTCTATCGCCTAAAAAAGACATTTTAATATTCTAACACCTAAAAAAGGCAGTTTAAGGTCTTTAAAGCAGGGTGCGCAAAAATTCGCTCGCGAATGATTCAAAATACATTATTTTCGTTTTGTGCTCATTTTCCGAATGAATCTATGGCGATAAATTCTTTATTAAACGAACATTCGCCAAAGAATGTTCGCACACCCATAACAAAAGGGTGAGAGCACACAACAACGATCGTTCGTTTCGTTTGGTGGCTGAAATTCTTTCTGACATTCTATCTCTCGAATGAAAACAAACATTCCCGAATTCTCGCGAATGCTCAAAACAGCAACAACAATAACAACAAACGTCATCTGTGAAAGGTTAAGGTCCTTAAGTCGTTTGCCGGCAGCTCTTGGGGTACTGATAAAGAGACCTTGTTGACAAAGCAATAGACAATATAGAACTGCGACAGGGTGCCTCCTCAGAGGACCATTTACATGAGGAGGCAATGGTCTTACCCGTAAATCGTCACAACAGGATGTTGTTGATGCAATACCAGCATGGGTGTTATCGCAGGAATCATCCATGACATAGTCTTATGGATAGAATTCCCCCACCCAGGCACGTAAGCAGAGACCTACATGATCTAGAGAGAGAAAGGTCCAACGGCACAAATGAGAACCCCTAGATCAAGAGGCTTATCGAGCAGGAATGGACCAATACCATGTGAATGCAGTACTAGGAGGAGCTGATAAAGATATCCTGTTGACCTCTTACAAAGCAATAGGTTGGTCGGTGGTAAGCTATGCGGCGCCAGGGTGGTACGCGAATGTAAGCGATACACAGTGGAAGAACATACAAACCTGTCAGAATACCGCCCTTAGAACTGCGACAGGGTGCCTCCTCATGACGCCAGTGGACCATTTACATGAGGAGGCAATGGTCTTACCCGTACATCATCACAACAGGATGTTGTCGATGCAGTACCCGCTTGGGTGTTATCGCAGGAATCATCCATGCCATAGTCTTATAGATAGAATTCCCCCACCCAGCCTCGTAAGGAGAGGCCTACATGATCTAGAGAGAGAGGTCCAACGGTACAAAAGAGAACCCCTAGATCAAGTGGCTTATCGAGCAGGAGCAGGCAATGGACCAATACAATGTGAATGCAGTACTAGGAGTGCACCCACCACCTATAGTAGCAGAAGAGCGACAGCTGCCTAGACAAACGAGAGTGGTTTTAGCCCAACTAAGATCAGGATGGTTCAACCGCCTCAATTCGCATTGGGCCCGAATTGACAGCGCGGTACCATACACATGCCCTGCATGTGGACTTGGACCTCACGGTACGCTGCATCTCTTTAACTGCCCTGCTAAACCCACTCATCTGTCTCCGGAATCTCCTAGGACGCAGCCGTTACAGATTGCAACCTTCCTGAAACTGAAGATTCCATGGAAACAGAGGAGTCAGGAGTTCCATGGAAACAGAGGAGCCAGAATAATTTAAATACAACAAACATGTAGGCAGTTGCTACAACAACAACAAACGTTTGTGAACTCAATAGTTGTTGGACATGTGTTTTGTTATTCCACACACATTCTGCTACACACACATTCTTTCGTTGCTTGTGTGTGTTTACTTTTTTTATGATATTTTTGTTTGTTGTTGTTTTTAACAGTGCTCGCGAGCATTCGCGAATATTTGTGTTTTGAGTTTTTCAAAAGAAAGCTCATCAGCAACATATGCTCCCGAAAGAATGAATCGACGACGCTTGCAGCGAAATTTTATCGTTCGTGAAATTTTCGTACAATGCGAACATTCGCGGGAGATGGCAAATGCTTGTTCATTCATTGTAACTTTATCATTCGCGATAAGTTGAAAACTTTCGAATTCTCGCCAGTGAGCATTCGTGAGAAAGAGCGTAATTTAATCATTCTTCGCACCCTGCTTAATTGTCCTTGAAAAAATATTTTTAATAAACCCACGCTTCGAGGTAGCCCTTGAAGAAATATTTTTAATAAATACACGATTCTTGGTAGCATTTGAAAAAAGTCTTATTACGTTTGTAACCACTGTGCCCCTGTGTAAAAATTTAAATTCATATTAGCCACTGGCGAAAAACGAAATCATTCATTGAACTCAGTCGTTATTTGAAATTATCTGCGGGCGGTGGGCCATAATAACATACAGACGCAACAAATCAACAAACCAAAAAAAAACTTTTCGATTTAATTTCATTACTAGTTCGTGTTTTTTTCCTACCGACGAAAAAACTATTATCCAACATTCGATTTAATTGAAGTGCAAAACGAAAATATAGACTGCAAGTGAAAACAATGTCATTGAAATTCAATACAACTCTCGAAGATTTAAGAAATTTAATCGATCTCCACTTGGGTGAGAAATTTTTGGAAAAAGATCCATTGTGGCAGGTGTTGGATTCACCCATTTCCGGGCGGGGATTATTTGCCCGGCGTGACATAAATACGGGTGATGTGATTTTACGTGAACCCGCATTGCTGGCTGGCCCGAAGGCCGGTCAGACAACAAATATCAACACTTGTGCGGTATGTTATTGCCGGTTGGAGGGTAGCGATGCGGAGATTATGTGTAAAAATGGTTGCACAATGCCTGTTTGCGACGTCTGCTGTAACTCCGAACGCCATGTGGGAGAGTGTAAAGTTTTCCGCAAATGGAAACCCAAAGATATGGGGAAAATTAATCGTCCCGCTCTACGTATTGTTTCCATAATGCGTTGCCTGTTCCTCAATGAAAATCAACATAAGCTGTTATATGCCCTACAAGCAAATCCCGATAAATACTACAAAGCTGAGGTACAAATGGCTGCCGGGTGTTTTGAAGAATTCACAAGAAATCCGGATATTTTAAATTATTTTTATCGTACAATTTGCGCCTTCAATACGAATGCCTTTGAGGGGAATAGTTGTGTTGGTGGACATGAAGTTCTGATAAGAGCTTTGTTCCCGGTGGCGGGTTTGATGAATCACCAGTGCACCCCAAATGCAAATCATCATTTTGAAAATGGTGAAACAATTGTTATTACGGCTGCTCGTCCTATACGGGAGGGGGAGGAAATTGTTACCAGCTATTCGAAGTTATTGTGGAGCACACTGGCCAGGAATACTTTCATGAAACTTACAAAACAATTTGAATGCTCGTGTGCGAGGTGTTTGGATCCGACGGTGAGTAGCTTTTTATACATATTTTTAATAACTGATATTAATAATTACAAAAATGTGTGTATAAAATGTACGATCTCGGAGCAGATCTTCGTTTTTATGAAAATTTTAAACTTGTTGCTGATCTTTCAAAAAATATTTTTAAAAAATCGAAACTTGTTAATAGTCAAACATTTTTTAAAAAATGTAAAATTGGGGTAGTGAAAAAATATTTTGAAACCAGTGAGCGGAGCAGTATAGTCGGGCGGTTGGCCCCCGACACCCTGCACAACTACCACGGAACTCTAAATTTCTGCGGATTTTTATTCCGAGCCTGGGCAATATTTCGTGGTAGTTGCATCCTTTTGCCCGATTAGAGGTCAACAGCACCTCTTCTTTACACTGACATATTTTCCGAATATTACTAATATTCAGTTCAGCCCTTCTAATTACTTGTCCAGATTCCCTTCACCGGTTGTTGTGATGTTCGACTGATAACTGTGTACTATAGATGGACTCGAAAAAAAAACAACAGAAAACGAGTAAGGAAAATAGTAAATATGACACCCTTGACCATATTGTGTATATTCTACATATATATGTGTATATTCTACATATGTTTGCCAGAGACTGATTTATATTACTTCAGTACTAATACTTCTGTACTAATTTATATTACTTCGATCGGCCTTAGCAACACCATTCTAAACTTAATTCTTGCAAATCGGAGGATATATAGGGACTTTGGTACACCATTTACATTAAATCGGACGAAAATATATATGGGCAATATCTAAATCTGAACCGATTTTCACGAAATTTAACACACATCATTCTAGACTTAACTCAGTACGCTATGCCAAATTTCGTGCAAATCGAAAGATATATAGGGACTTTGGTACACCATTTACCTAAAATCTGATGAATATATATTTGGGAGCTATATCTAAATCTGAACCGATTTTTCCCAATTTCAATAGGGTTCGTCCTTAGGGCCGAATAAATGCTCGACTTAAAAGGGTGATTCGATGCATATTCTCAAAAGGAACCATTTGTCTATCTCGTCTCCTTTTGCCTGTTACAAACACATGCACAAAGACATAAAACCCTGTAGTGTGGTGAAGGGTATAAAAATAAAGTTTTCGGTCCACTTCATCCCAAAATTATTATCTGATCATCACCGAAAATTATAGGCGTTGCACTTGACCACAACTGGAACCTCATGGAACATTTCAAAGCGATCAGCGCTATATTTCCGCCCTCTAGTGTGGTAATAATGGTTACTAAATAATATCTGAATACGTAAGCACTGGTAAATATTTATGGGTAACTCTCACATCCGAGTACGTACGACAATATAATTGGTATCAACTTAAAGGCCAGCCATCCTACTTGGATATACTATCAACTTCTCGGGTTTATGTTCTTCAGGAGTAAAACTATACGCTTTAGAATACAATGTTTGTAATTTTTTACACAAAAGCCAGGGTCCATTTGACCCGATAAATATTTACCGATTTTTGTCAAAAGAGGCATGCTTATTCGTTGGCCCGATCCCCTTCTCGATGTATGGGCCATAATTGCGGCCTCTGGAGCAAAAATTAAGTACTTGGTCCATTTCATCCCCTAAATATTAACCGGGTCTTCTTTGGGCAGAACCCATCCTACGCATTTCGTAATGATTGGTTCATAATTGTGGTCTGTATGGTGTTTACAAATTATAATGGTCAGGCGGACGAACGGACACACATGTCTAGATCAGCTAGTCGAGATATGACGATCGGTATATGTATATATGTATGGTCTATGACTAATATTTCGCGGCGTTGCAAACTCTTTGGGCTGTACAGAGCGATAATACCCTGACACATAGTTGCCAAAAAATATTTTTAAAAAAATCTAATCTTGGGGATAGTCACAAAATATTTTTAATAAATCCACGCTTTTTGCTATTCATTTTTGGGTCGTAATGACTATTTACACGAAAAGTGAAATTATTTTTGATATTTTCGATTTGTTGGCTATGTAACGGAAGCTATAAAGCTTTATACGGATTTAAAAAGCTTTGCCTATGAATTGTGGGCAACAAAGAGTGCATATATTTAGGAGGCAAGAAAAGTGGTGAATATTTTTTTTATTTGAACTTTACTTTTACACCCAATGGGTTTTCACAGATTCGCAACAAATTGAAACAAAAATGTTAAATCCAAGAGATGCACATTAATGTCTATTCAACAAAATGTTCGATAATTCGATTCGAAATTTCTATATAAATAATATTTTGTGTAAACAAGTATTAACATACCCTACACAACTGTGCAGCCCCAAAACGAGTTTGTAACGCCGCGAAATATTGGTCCTAGACCCAGCTTCAAATATACCCATACTCGACTAGATGAGTCAATATAGACGCCACAATTATGATCCGAACACCATGAAATTTTATCAGGGTGCGAAGAATGATTAAAATACACTCTTTCTCGCGAATGTTCACGCCGAGAATTCGAATGTTTTCAATTTATCACGAATGATAAAGTTACAATGAATGAACAAGCATTTGCATTCTCTCGCGAATGTTCGAACGTTTGTTGTTATTGTTTTTGCTGTTTTGAGCATTCGCGAGAATTTGGGAATGTTTGCTTTCATTCGTGAGATAATGTCAGAAAGAATTTCAACCACCAAACGAAACGAACGATCGTTGTTGTGTGCTCTCACTCGTTTGTTATGTGTGTGTGCGAACATTCTTTGGCGAATGCTCGTTTGGTAAAGAATTTATCGCCATAAATTCATTCGTAAAATGAGCACAAAACGAAAAGAATGCTTTTTAATTCATTCGCGAGCGAATTTTTGCGCACCCTGAATTTTACACTAGGAAGCGAATCTGGCCAAAAAATAAGCATGACTGTTCTCATGAAGATCGGTCAATATTATTTAGTGGGAGGTAAAATGGACAGAGACAAAAAATTACAAAATTTGTATTTCGGGGCGTATTTAGTTACTCGTGAAGGACATTTAACGGATATGTTGAGAGTATATCCATTATGAGTTTATAAGCTTTAAATTCATGCCAATTATATTGGCGTATGACCTCGGTTGTGGGAGTTATACGTAAATATTTAAATGTGTATTGTGTTATGATATTGTTCAGTATTACTATTACCCAACTAGAGGGGGGAATGTTGCGCTGAGCGTTTTGAAATTTTACGCGAAGTTCCCGTTATGATCAAGGTCAATGCCTATAATTTTTGGTGATGTACGGAAAACTTTATTTTTGGTCTACTCGCCTTTTACTGCCAGACCCACTTTGGCAGGCTCCTTCTCAAATTGTTCAAAGGTGGCTGTTACCGCTCTCAGTGTTCGACCCATTCACGCAGGATGTTAAAAAGAACACTCGACAAACTGTCACCTTGTCTGAATCCTCGTTCGGCATTAAAGGGCTCCGAGAGATCATTTCTGACTTTAACTGCTGATCTTGGGCCAGATAAAGTTATCCTGCATCGTCGTATTAATTTTGCAGGAATGCCAAACGCAAACATGGCTTTATACACCTCTGAACGGATAGGGCTGTCGAATGCGGCTTTAAAGTAGACGAATAGATGGAATGTGTCTATGTGTATTTCGTGGGTTTTTCCAGAATTTGGCGCAGAGTGAAAATCTGGTCAATGGTGGATTTGCTAGGTCTGAAGCCGCATTGGTATGGTCCAATAATGTCATTGACCATTAGATTCAATCGTTGACACTGCACATTGGATAGTACTTTACATGCGATGGGAAGGAGACTTATTCCTAGTTGGCACATAGTTGGCACATATCGTCTTGTCTCCTTTTTTGTGCACAGGACACAGGATGCTGAGGTTCCAATCATTGGGCATGTATTCTTCTAGCCAAATTGTATAAATCAGCTGGTGCATGCTCCTTACCAGCATCTGACCACCAGTCTTGAATAATTCGGCTTGTAACCCAGCGGCACCTGCTGCTTCATAATTTTTCAGCCGATTGATTGCTATTCTGACTTCATATTGGCTAGGTGGTATACAATCTACACCGTCATATATTATTTTTTTCAAAATGCTCCTTCCAGATCCTCAGTACGCTGTCTGTATTTGTCACCAGGTTTCCTTCTTCATCTCTACATGTGGATGTGCCTGCACCAAAGCCTTCGGTTTGGTGTTTTACCCGTTGGTAACATTTTCGGGCTTTATTCTGACTCCTGTACATCTCGATTAGCTCACGCTCACGTTTTTCCTGTTCTTTTTTACCAGCATCTGACGACCAGTCTTGAATACTTCGGCTTGTAATCCATCGGCACCTGCTGCTTTATTATTCTTCAGCCGACTAATTGCTATTCTGACCTCATCTTGGCTAGGTGGTATACAATCTACACCGTCATATATTATTGGTGGTGCGGTATCCTCTTCACCGCTACTATTTGATACCAGAAGTTTTTCAAAATGCTCCTTTCAGATCCTCAGTACGCTGTCTGTATCTGTCACCAGGTTTCCTTCTTCATCTCTACATGTGGATGTGCCTGCACCAAAGCCTTCGGTTTGGTGTTTTAACCGTTGGTAGAATTTTCGGACTTTATTCTGACTCCTGAACATCTCGATTTGCTCACATTTTTCTTGTTCTTTCTTCTTTTTTCTGAAAATACGTTTCTCCACTCTCCCTATAGTTCTCTATCGCATTGTGTGTTGCTACTGTCCGCAGGGTTGCCCTATACGTTGTGTTTTTCACATCAGTAGCATTACGACACTCCTGATTGTACCACGGATTTCTTGATGGCGGTCTTTGGTACCCAAGTGTTGCTTTTGCAGACAATTTTCAGTGACACGCACATCATATCAAGTTCTCTTCCAATTTGAGGTTTCGAAGTTCTCTTCCAATTTAAGGAAATTTGAATGCACATAACATAGTGGAACTTATCAGTTCGGGCCGGCCGAACAATAAACTTACTCCACCGGCAATTTATGGGTTAAACAGCAGTCACATTTCAATATTTTCGGGGTTTCTTTTTTTTTGTTCTTTGCCCGCATCATGTTTTCACATTTTGTTAATAAAAATGTTGCAGTTGAAATCAAACCTAAAATGCATGAACCGGCAAGCTAAAACACACAACAATTATTGTTGTTAATAAAAAAATGTATTTTTGTTGTTTTTCGGAAAATCTATGTGTGGGTGGTTAGTATTTGGACTATTGCCTCCATAGAAATGTTTGTTGTTCCATTAAGAGGCGCTGTGTGTGAGAGACTGATTTTTGTTTCTTAATTTTTTATTGCTTTGGGGATGAAGGGGGCCGATAAAAATTGTGTTTGATTTTATTTAGAACGAGAACAAGAAAAAAAACAACAAACCAAAAATGAAAAATACAATTTTTTTCTATATTTTCACACTGATTAGCATCTGTGATGTGTGAAAGATGTTTATCGAATGAAACACATCGTATTATAAATCAGTTGGTATTTGAATTCCGGCGGGTGTGGAAATTAAAAAAAAAAATTGGAAAATAATCGAAGGAGAAAATTTTTTTGCTAGCGTGACAAAACATTTTTAATTAATTCAAAAAATATTTCAAACAAAATTCTGAAAATGTCTCTAAAATCAAATATCAGCACTGTGGATTTAGCTAACCTCATAAACGCGCATTTAGGTTCGGAATATCTAAAAGAACAACCCTCGTGGCAGGTGTTCGATTCTCCTATTTCTGGTCGAGGTATTTTTGCTAGCAGAGATATAGCTCCGGGTGAAGTTATTTTAAAAGATCGCGCCCTGGTCGTTGGACCCAGAGGCACTTTGGATACGTCCAATTCCAAAACTTCATGTGTTGTGTGTTATCGCCAATTAGAAGTTATGTGTAAAAATGGTTGTGGTCTACCCATATGCTCTGAGTGTTCCCAGGGAAATCGTCATGCCACCGAATGTGAATTATTTCGGCGATGGAAACCCAAAGATGCAACCAAAATCAATTCCCATATCCTGCGTTTAGTATCAATTGTTCGCTGTTTCTTTTTGAATGATCTGCAGCGTAAACTATTCCTCTCCCTGCAACCCCATTCCGATAAATATTATATGCTGGAGTTACAAAAGGCGACTGCCTGTTTTGAACACTTCCCCAAAGATCGTGAAATGTTGGAATATTTCTATCATAGTATTTGTGTTTTCAATACAAATGCCTTTGATGGTGGCAGTCAAAAGGGTTTTGAGAATGAGGGTCGCGTCAGAGCCTTATTTCCGTTGGCTGCCATGTTGAATCATCAATGCCGTCCAAATGCTGAACATCATTTTGAAAATCCGGAGACGATTGTCGTCACTGCCGTCCGCCCTATTAAGCAGGGCGAGGAAATTGTAACGTCTTATACGAAATTGTTGTGGAGTACAATGACACGGAAAATGTTCTTGAAAATGACGAAACATTTTGAGTGCTGCTGTGAGAGGTGCTTGGATCCAACGGTGAGTAAAATTTGGTGGGGTTCCTTTATTCATTTCTTCGGAATTTCGAGGTTTGAATTTTCCTATAGAATTTTTGTCTTTAAAAATCTAGAATCGATCATTAATAAATTACGTCTGCCTATGGTGGTGTCGATGTTTTATATTGTGGATATGTTAAAATGTGGACTTATATTCGAAATTTTGTAGGAGGGTATAATTTATCCTCTTGTAACCGGGAATCTGGAATCTTAAAAATATCTTTAAAGGGGACTGGGGTTTTTAATGAGGTTTCAAGTCGGATAAAGTCATGGAACTGTGTCCTTATCATCGGCTAACCTGATAACTATCAATCGCTTTGGTTGGAACCGTTAAAATAGCGATAATGTGGTTGGACCTTCAGATTTTGATTATAAAAATATATAAATAGATATTTTAAACCTGTAACCTCCTAAGGAAGTTCGAATTACAACTTTTACAATTGGGTATGTGACCATAACCTTAAACACACCTAAAATGGGGCTGAAATGATAGTTTTATACCCTCAGTCAAAAATGTTCCTATCGACATATTGGTTTTAGACCATAAGTTTTTTAGACACAATCCAGCTTTTAAATGAGGTTTACACGAAACCATGGAAGTGTCTTCTTATCATCGGAGAGCCTGAAATCCCTTTGGTTGGAAAATATCTCTAGGACCTTTAAAATAGACCTTCAGATTTTGATTATGAAAATATCTAAAGGGGTATTTTTCAACCTTCTAAAGAAGTGTGAATTTACAACTTCTACCTTTGGGAATATGACCACAACCTTAAATATACCTAACATGGTGCTGTGGCTTAATACGTTAAAACATTCATCTATTACCAGGAAGAAACCGGGTCATGCCATCTCTGAGTGATTATATTTGCCACAATATGATATTTTTATAGCCTTAGCCTTCTGCTTAATGAGAGTATATACTCTTCGCTACGTCAAAAATGTGCTTAATCGAAATAATGGTTTTATATCCTATTTTTTACCAAATCCGATTCGAACGATTTGGAGTCGATTGACAAATGTGCGTTTGTCTGGCTGGTGCGCATGATAATTCTCGTAGGGATTAACTGATTTCATCCAAACTTAGCATATCGTAATATTTCTTTCAAAATCAAATCAATTTCGAAGATTGGGAATATCGGTCCATATCTTATGTTACCTCCCCCACAAAATAATTCAAATTTTGTTGAATATTAATTTTGAATCGAACTTTACACAACCTATTATCTTTATCAAGCCTAGATGAAGTCAGAAGTCCACTCTTTCTGGTACCTCCCCCACAAAGGATCAAAATGTTAAATATTTATAAATCTAATATTAGGCGAATGGAATGTTCGATTTGATTCATGCTGTGCACATCGTAATATTTCTTTCAAACTCAAATCAATTTAGAAGGTGGGGAATATCGGTTCATTCCTTTTGGTACCTACCCCACAAAATGATCCAAAGTTTGCAGAAAAGTTTGCGCCATCTAATATTTTAACCAAGCCTGTATTATGTTTGAAGGTGAGCTTATCGGTCCACTATTTTTGGTACCTCTACCACAATTTTGAAAACTTGTAAATTTCATATTTCGAATGGAAGTATCCGATTTTATCTAAATACTACATTAAGTTCGAATGTGGGACTCATCGGTCTAGTCCTTCTGATACATCCCAACTCAATGGATTACAATTTTTAACATTTGTAAATCCAATATCATGCGTATGAAAAGTCCGACTTTATCCAAACTATGTTCATCGGAATATTTTTTGTCTGATGGTGAGATCCATCGGCCAAGTCCTTCTGGAATGGGTTAAAATTAAAAAAACTGTCCGATTTCATTCTCTGTCCGATATCATTCAATATGTCCACATCGTTGTATCGTAACTAACTCTATATCAGGTCCCAAGATGGAACCCATCGGCCCAATCCTTCTGGAACATATACCACCATGTATAAACTTTGAATACCTTTAATATTCATATGAAGCGAATGGAGTATCCGATTTAATCCATTGATTATACATCGTAATATTTTACCAAGACCTAAGATGGGATATGTAGGACATATGTGTATATATATATTGCATATTCCCGCTACTTCGTTAGCGAATGTGGGAATTATTTAAAAACCAATACCGACAATAATTAAAATTTTAGTACCATTAAGTCCCTAAGTTCTCTTATAGTACGTATTTCCAAAGTTACCTCCATATCTCAACATTCTCTACACTAAATTTGGTATAATTTATTACACTTTGTACTCTGGTAATAATTATTTCTAAAATAAATTAATACCATTTAGTACTCAATAATATAAAATTTTATTTCTACCTACCATACATCCATACACACCATCCAACACTCTAAAAATAATCTTATTTTGAAATTTAAGTGTTTCAGCTCTATTGGTTCACCCAAAATCCAAATAGTACCAAATTTAGTACCATACTACACACAGTAGTAGAAAATTCCAAAACTTCATACATATCCCCATCCTACACCCCATCAGTGATCCAAATTTAAGGATTCCAGCTGTATTGGTTCACCGAAAAACCAAATAGTATTTAGCCCTATCCATTCTCATGCTATGAAATTGTAGCAAATTTAGTACATTTTAGTACTTTTCAGTTCGAATGTCCAAACACCATTTGCTACATCGATTCTACACTCCATCAGTGACCTCCTTTTAGAGTTCTACCTCTTCCGGTTCGACAAATACTAATGGTACCACATTTAGTACTTTTCGTTCCGTTCTAGTAGGAATTTCCAAAAACCCAGGCTTATCTGACACCTTTGGACCAAGGGTGACCCTCACCACAAATTTCTAGATTCTAGCTCCAGCCGTTTCGTCAGGGCATTGATGAATCGTTAAATCAGTTACTCAGCCAGTAAGTCAATCACTTTTCTCTTTTATTGTTATAGATAGATGAAGAAAATAGTACACCCTTTGTGGTCCAAAATTGGTAGATATAGTATAATTATCGGCTATATAAGCCCATCATCTCTGGTAACTTCCTCACAAAAGGTAAACATTTTGGAAAATTATACATTTAATGAAAAAAATGCATCACCTCGATACTACACAGAAATTGCCTAGACCTCCGTAAACCAAAATATCAAAAAAGGACATGATACTACATATAGAACTCATCTGTATACATCATATGAGGGGGCTCGAATTCTCTGGGGCCACACAAACTTATAAAATCCTCAAAACATATTTGTGACATTGACTCGGGCATTTGCCTTTTTCTGTGAGAAAGTACTTTTTCTTTTGAAAAAAAAACAATTTTACGATGACCTAAAGGGTACCTCCCTATTCTCGATGTTCCAGTGATCGGAAATCATCACCGCAGTCGAAAGGAAGTTTTCAAGTGTTTACATACACAGTTACACGTCTTCAATGTAATGCATGTCCATTTGCCAGGCGCTTGAAAATCATAAAAATTTTAAATCGAAAATGGAGAGGGGTATCCTTTAATGTATCAAGATCGTAATACTAGGATTCGATAAATCAAAATACCATATTAAACCAGTGAGCGGTGAAGTATGATACTCAACACAACCACCATGAGAATCTAACTTTCTGTGGTTATATATTTTGAGCCTGGGCAATATTTTCCAAATCGTGTTTTCCCGAGGTGAATATTTACGGCATAAAATAGAAATTTGGTCACTTTATGTTTTGGTTGATTTGAGGCTCGGAATACTAAGTATTTCGTCAGATCCCCTTCACCGTGTAAAATATGTAATAATCTGCATATAATAACATCTACAGCGACTAGAAAATCCATTTGACGTGGTCAATATATAGACCGATATTCTTCAAAACAGTCATGCTTATTATTTGACCAGGTTCCCTTCGTGGGTCATAGTTGTGGCCTCTAGAGCGACCAGAAAACAGACAAAAAAATATGTTTTTGGTCCCTTTTATGGCAATAGGGGTCTTCATTGGCCAGAACCCATTCTACATGCAAAATTTCGTGACGATAGGTCCATAACTGAGGCCCGTATCGTGTTTACAAATTAAAATGGACAAAAGTCTATGCCGACTCAGCTAGCCTAGATCGGTATACTTAATGGTTGATTCAGGATCAATATATCGCTGTGTTACAAACTGTAGGGCTGCACAAAGCTTTAATACTCCGACAACATAGTTGTGTAGGGTATACAAATTCAGCAAGGGCTTTTAAGAATTAAATATCTCGCTTCGAATTTGATTGAAAAAAATATATGTTGATAGACTGATATTGAGTACATACACAATTTATGAGGTCTCCTATTCATACCCGATGACAAAATAAATATTTGATTGCATATGACTTTTTCCAATAATTTTTTTTTTAATTTTAATGGCCGACAAAAAAGTTTATTTTTTATTTAATTCTAGACGGAGATAGCACTTTTCTATAAAAATCCATAGTTGTTTCTTTCCTGTTTTAATTTGTATTACCAATTATCCAAAAACTTTGTAAAAACCTGCCATGATCCACTTTGATATATGAAATTAACAATTTAGTAAAAATACTCCTCCCAAAATAAATTATTAATTGTTCGGAAAAAAATCATAATTTCGTATAGCAGAATTCGTTGTGCGCGTTAAAGCATCTCAGATATGCATCATGCTATTGTTTGTGTTATTTGTCACATTGTCGACGTGCTCTGCTGTCATTCATATTTGAACGACAGCTGGCAGCCGGTGGTTGGCGATGATGAAGGCGAGGATGATGCTGATGAATATTATTTTTCATTAGCCAGAAAATGTTGTTAAGATATTTTTTACGCAAGGCTAACTAACAAATAGTGCGACATGTTTTACAAATGGGGAGACATCGAAGAAAAAGTATTTTTTATTAATGAATAAAATTAATAAAAACAACGACGGAAGACAAGAGGATGTATTATGCAGAAATTTTGGGATGATTGATGATTTTTTTCTCATTAATTCATCGACTGTTCTTGACATATTACTACTAAGCTTCCCTACAAAAAATTATCAGATGTCTTTCAGATGCTGCCCAAAAATAAATATTTAAATCATTCCAGAGGTGTAGTTAGCCCTACCTCTCTCTCTCTCTTTCTATTTTTCAATGGTTTCAATTGGTTATTAAATATATATGCATTTGCTTCTCTTCGCATTTTTAGTCGAAACACTAATTAATTCTTTGCTTGGGCAGAATATCGGTAGATTAACATGTAATGGCAATAAGTCCATTTTACCATTTTACAGGAGAGACAACCAGTGACATACAAAAAAGGATTTGTATCGAATTTCATCCAATTCGGATCATAAATCGACTCAGAAAGTTATTCTATGCATATTCTCAAATGGAATCATTGTTCCACTCCTTTTCGTACCTTCCCTACAAATGGTCCAAATTTTCAATATTTGTAAATCCAATTTCAGGCGATTGGAATTTCCGATACGAACCAAACTTTGCACAACCCATTATCTTTACGAAGTCTAGATTAAGTCAAAAGATGGGACACATCTTTCGGTACCTTCCCCACGAATGGTCAAAAAAACCTTTACTAACCTTATATCTATTATCTTTACTAACCCTATATCAAGTCCGAAGATGGGACGCAGTAGTCCACTCCTTCCGGCACCTCCCTCACAAATGGTCAATATTTTATAAAATGTTATCAACATTAAAAAAGTGGACTTATTGCCTTTTCACGTCTGTGTGTGTGTTTTAATTTTTAAATCCATTACACTGTATGACAAATTTCAATTTTTTTTATAATTACCGGGAAATTCCAACAGATTATGAAAGAGGGGCTAAAAAAAGAAGACACGTGTATCGGCGTTTTGAAAGTTTACGTCGGGAGGTAACCTAAAAGGGGGGGGGGAATATTCCCCCTTTTCAAGAATTTTGATAATTTTCGAATTATGTTGGAATTTCTCGGAAATTATTTTTTGTGTTGCACAGTGTTATCTGCATACGAGAATATTTTCTATGCATTTAAAAATAATTTGTGGCATGCGATAATTATGTTGCTGTTTGTGTATTCGTACATCAATTACACTGTGCTACAAAATTCCAAAAGTTCCAACAGATAATGAAAGATGGACTAAAAATAGAAGTTTATTTTCGTTTTGAAAAATTTTCGTCGGTAGAAACCACAAAAAATGGAGGTAAAATTTCTCCTTTTTAAAACATTCGAAAATATTCACATTAGGATTTCTTGAAATCCTGAAATCCAAAGCGTGGATTGATACTAATAACGCATGGTAGAATATACAATCCTCAAAGTTCTGCAATTTAGATTATATAGTACAGGCATTAGCGAATATTTGGGGTTATAGTTATATGAGGGCTATGCCTAAGTAATGACAGACATATGTCAATTTCGAACCCAATATTTCTGTTTTGTGTCTCATTTCAGCGTAGACCTACATAGCCCATCTTCAAACTTGACCTGCCTCGAGACAAAAGACGACTCTATGCAATCTATCTCAATTCGTTTAGACGCTAGAGTGATTACAACAGACAGACGGACATGGCTATATCATCATAGAATTTTACGCTGATCAAGAATATTTATACTTTATAGGGTCGGAGATGATTATTTCGATGAGTTACAAACGGAAAAACAAAATTAATATACCTTCCATACTATGGTGGAGGGTATAAAAATAGGACATTTTCTAAAAATTAAATTGCATTGGTCCGCAATTTTTTATCCCTCTCCACACTGTGGTACAGGGTATTATGTCTTAGTGCATATGTTTGTAACAGGCTAAAGGAAACGAGATAGATACATGGTTCCTTTTGAGAATATGCAAGAATCACTTTCTGATTCGATTTGTGCATGCCGTCTGCCTATGTATTTTTGTGAACAAAGCACAGGTCGCATTTATGATCCGAATTGGGTGAAATTTGGCACAGCGCATTTATGTGGCCCAAGGACGAACTCTATTGGAGAAAATCGGTTCACATTTAGATATAGCTCCACTATATATATTTTCGTCGGATTTTATCTAAATGGTGCGCCAAACTCCCAATATTTGTTCGATTAAAACAAAATTTTTTTACTGCGTACTGAATTAAGCCAATTTTAATGTCTGTCAAGTTTTATAAATATCGGTTCAGATCTAGATATAGCTCCCATATATAACTACGTCCGATTTTATGTAAATGGTGCACCAAACTCCCAATTTTTGTCAGATTGACACAGAATTGTGCATGAAATTGAGTACAGAATTAGGTCCAGATAAACATATGCAAAGTTTGTTGAAATCGGTTCAGATTTAGATATAGCTCTCATATATATTTTCGTACAACTTCATGCAAATGGTGCACCGAGGTGCTTACTTTTTGTGGCGTTACATGAAATATTGTAGAGAGTATTATATTAAAAATTGTTGAAATCGGTTCAGATTTAGATATAGTTTCCATATATATATATATATATATATATATCCGTTTGATTTCGTCTAAATGGTGTACCAAATAACAAATTTTTTTTCGATTGGGACGAATTTCTACACAACATATAATGTTGGAGCTGCAATAACACATATTGAAATTTGTAAAATATATTCAGATGTATATATTACCGCTATATGTTTTCGCCCGATTTCATGCAATATGTGCTTTAAAGACCCCCCCCATTCTCGGGGTCAAAATTTTTTTGATTTAATTCGATTCTACACTAATTCAAGAATGTCCCTACAAAATTTCAAGTGAAAATCTCAAGAATTCTTGAAGATATAGCCGATTTGTTGTGTCAGCATCAAGTGACGGCTAAATGGCTTCTCAAACTTTAAACGCGTTTTTCTCTTTTGTGAATGGCGGGCACGATAACTCAAAAACTAATAACCAAATCGATTCCAAATTTTTACACGTTTCTCTGTGTGTGTATAGCTATCGTATGAACTAGGATAAAGCCGATCGGTGAAGATCTTCCTTATTTTTTAACTCGGTTTTTGGTCAAAAATCGGCGAAGTCAATAATCCTAGTTCCTACGAGAGCCAGACATGTACTCTTTCTAACAACGTTGGAATTTTCGGATTCCGATGTTCCAGTGAGGAGTTATCATGCCCGCCATCAAAAATAAGGACTTTTCTTTAATTATAAAAAACAACAACAAAATAATAACAAAATTTTTTTGTAAATTATTTTTTTTTTCTATTTTATATCTTCAATTATATATGTGTAAAGTTACAAACCTTAACAAGCATTGGTATTGATTTACCAGCCCATTGAAAATCTTGAAAAATTAAAATCGAGAATGGATGGGGTTCCCTTAAATAATAAAGGTTTCTCCTACCGAGATGAAATTGTGGTCAGCGCAATGTGCTGAAGCATATTAGATGTCGTATGTCACGGTTGCTCCATTAGGTCCTGATTTACATATAGCTCCCATACATAACTACATTTCTTACAAATGGTAGTCTGAAGAATACATGTCTGCCAGATTGACATGCATTTTTTCGCAGATATATGGTTTTTTCATTGGTTCAAATATCTATGTAGATCACACATTTAATTTCCTCCAAATATGCTAAGTTGGTTCTATCTACAGGATATTGTTTATTTGGGTACATCTCTTGTATGTACCCAAAATGTTGAAGAGTATCATATAGTCGGTTCCGACTTTTGAAATGTCCCTATTGGTTTTAATTTTTATAGTTCATACCAAAGTCTGACATTTACTCTTTCGAATGCCGTTGGAATTTTTGAATTCGGACGTTCCAGTGGTCGCAAATCATGTCCACCGTGGAAAAAAGGACTTTTATTTAATTACAAAAACAACAACAACAATACTATGTCAATTAATTTTATTATCCTATGCAAAGTTACAGGTCTTCAACATCATTTACGGCAATTTCCCAGCAGTTTAAAATTTCAAATCGAGAATTGAAGGGGGTTCCCTTAAGTGTGTGAACTGACTACTCGACATACAACTTTTCAGCAATAATGAAAACTTAAAGCCAAAGCTCTATGAAGCATAGTGAGCTTTTTTTGAATTATTGAAAAAGTTTTAAAGGCTATTATTTTACAAAACACATTTGCATACTTTTAGGCATTTGGAATTCAAAGTATTAGAAACTAAATACGTCGGTATATTTTATGCGTTTAACTACCCATCAGGGCCTCCGTAATTTTATTTTTTCGAATGGGATGTGCATTATTATATTCTTATTTTAAATTTAAATATTTGATATTTTCAAAAAAAAAAAGTTATTAGATCTGTGCTTTACTCGATACATGAAAATACATTTTATGTTTTTCGAATTTTGAAGAACGAAAATAAACGTCAGCCAAACGTCAGTATTATTGTGGTATTTACATATAGACAACCACTTGAAGGGATACAATGTTTCTGTTTGTTTATTTCTGTTCAGTTCTTACTTGAATGCCGGCCAGAGCGAAAGTGTAACAGAATAATTTTAAAAGATAAAAAAATATAAATACGAAATGCCTTTAAAATTTAATATTACTACGGAAAATCTGAAGAAGCTAATCGACACCCATATGGGCCCAGAACTATTAAAAGAAAATAATTCGTGGGAGGTATTAGAATCACCTTTGTCGGGACGTGGTATATTTGCGGTGCGTGAAATAGCTGCTGGAGAGGTGATATTACGCGATATTGCCTTGACGGTGGGGCCGACAAATTCTTCCACTCAAACAATTTGTGTTGTGTGTTATAAACACCTAGAGGGCAATGACCCAGATATTATGTGTAAAAATGGCTGCACTTTGCCCTTGTGCGGGGACTGTTCAAATGTTAGTACCCACTCAACAGAGTGTGAACTATTTAGACGCTGGAAACCCAAAGAGACAACAAAAATCTCTCCCCAACTGTTGCGGTTTGTCTCCATTGTTCGCTGTTTATTTCTCAGTGACACCCAGCGTAGGTTATTACTTGCCCTACAGGCCAATAACGACAAATACTATGTGAAGGAACTAGAAAAAGTTGCTGCCGGCTTTACAAACTTCCCCAGCGATCGTGAGCTATTGGAGTATTTCCAATTCAGCATTGCTGCCTTCAATACCAATGCCTTTGAAGGCAACTGCCATCAACAGATGGAACAACAGACAGCCGGCCGAGTTCGTGCCTTATTTCCATTGGCATCATTGATGAATCATCAGTGTACCCCGAATGCTGATCATTATTTTGAAAATCCCCAGACACTTGTCATTTATGCGACACGTCGCATAGAGCGCGGTGAGGAGATTGTCACATCATACACAAAATTACTTTGGAGTTCGTTGATGCGAAAAATGTTCCTCAAAATGACAAAACATTTTGAATGTTGCTGTCCCAGATGTTTAGATCCGACGGTGAGTATAAATAAATCAATCGGTGTGTGTGCCTAGTTCATCAAATGTATGACAAGTGTGTAAAATATTTATAGATCATGTTTTTTAGTTGCACAATGGGTTGAAATGAAAAAAAAATGCAAACAAATTAAATATTAAATTTTGTTAATTAGTAATGAAACACCGATAAAAAAAGTCGAATCGTCATTAAGTTCGACTTCAATTAAGAATACAGAACTTCAATTATGAAGACAAAAGTCGGGTTGTATACTATGTCATTGAAAATTGGACCGGTGCTACACATTTTTCGAATAGAAATTTGAAGCGGAATCCTAAGTTACTGTCACGAACTTAACTATTTTTGTCAGAATAAAAATCTAAAATTTTGTATTTAAGATCATATA